TGCTGCATGACTGCACCCAGCCTCTCCTCCAGAGGGACATGCAATGCAATGCCATGGTCCTTGTTCTGCATCAAGCAAATTCAGGAAGCTCATTCCAGCTGCAGAAACCTGGGCATCATCTACTTTCTTTGCAGTACCAGTCTTGACCAGAAAAACCCTTCCTACACCAAGCAAGTGGCTCTTGATCCAGCTTATACCTTGTCATCCCTTCTGCAAACCATCAGCAAGCCTCCCAGATCAGGAAACATCTCCAGGCACTGCCCAAACACTTCTGACAAACTGTAACCAGAAAGAGGCCACCTGCAAGGCATGTTAAAGTCCTGGGAGCTCACCCTCACCCAAAGGAAGCACAGGTAAGGCCCTCCAAGTGCTGCAAAGCCAGTTAGGAATGCTTGATGCCTCCCATAGGATCACTGGGCAGGGCAATCCAGCTGACACAGCATTGGGCTTTCAGGAAGTTTTTTTTATCAAGCTCAAATAAACCATCTCAGGAGCAGCACAAAGGTCCCCCCTGTCAGAAATAAGCAGGCAAGAGTCCACTTTGCCCTGGAGGTGCCTGGAAGGTGCCACGAGTGCAGTGTTGCTTGCCAAGGCTCATCTGCCCCTGGGCCTGGCAGAGGGGAGGAGAATGCACCCAGAAGTTGTTGTCATGGAATTACCGCATCCAAGGCAAAACAGGCCGCATGAAGCCCAGCCGGGAGCTATGGATGATGCTTAAAAATCTGTGAGTAGAAATAAAGCAAAGCTCTTGATAGATTCCTTCAAGCCTGCCCCATGCAAGTGCTTCCAGCACATCCCAGCCCTGGACAACTCAGGACCTCCTTGCACAGCTTGAAGCCCAACAACCTCTGTGACCATGGGGACCTGCAGAACATGCAGGCAGAGCACTGGACGTGGGCACCACTGGCCCTGGGAGCAGGAAGGGAAGGAGAGGGGAGAAAGCTGCTTTGGGAGGCAGATTGCCCGAGCTGGGTCATAACCCCAAGGCTGGAGCAGATATCAGGTCTCCATGCAAGAAACCTCTAGAGGAAGTGAACTCCACGTGCTGTGTGGCAGAGCCATTCAGAGCACTGACAATATTTGGGGGCAGATTGTTCTTCCCCATGTTAGTACAACACCAACTCACCTGCTGGGTCTGGATGTCTATGGGCCAGCAATGGCCCCACAACTGCAAGAGGATCACCACAACCTCCACTGTGGGGGAGGGGGAAAGCTCCTTGTTCCATCCCACAGGGAACATAAGTCCCTGCCCATCCTTCATTGCCTTTCCCTGCCCCACTGGGGGCTGCTCCCATCCTGAAGCCCCCAGCCCACATGCTGCCCCAGGAGCAGAGCCCAAGGCTCTGCTGTCTACAGGACCCTTTCCTCCAGCTGTGTCACCACAACCAGGCAGCAGCCTTCAGCACATGGCCAAGGACTCCTGGGACAAGCTGGCAGAGCCCTGGAAGCCAGCCCGGGCAGGGCAGGGCAGGGCCAAGCTGGCAGCAGGCAGGATAAGCCAGTGCCTGCCCATGGTTCCTGCTGCTCCAACCAGCAAGCCTGTGGCAAGGAGTGGCCATGGCCCCTTGCAGAGGAGGAAAGGGCATTTCCCTGCTCTTATCTCCAGTCTGCTCCACAGGAGCTGCCTGCACTGGTGAGGCTGGCATGGCTCTGCCTGAGGGAGAGAGAGCACATAGAGAATTTGGTTGGAAAAGACCTTTCAGATCATCAAGGCCAATCGTTAACTCAGCACTGCCAAGGCCACCACTAAACCATGTCCCTCAGCACCACATCTACATGTTTTTTATATCCCTCCAGGGATGGCGACTCCCCCCTGGGCAGCCTGGGCCAGTGCCTGACAACCCTTTCCATGAAGAAATTGGTCCTAATATCCAATTTAAACCTTCCTGACACAATTTGTGGCTATTTCCTCTTGTCCTGTCACTTGTTCCTGGGGAGCAGAGCCCGACCCCCCTGGCTCCAACCTCCTCTCAGCAGCTGCAGAGCCAGCAGGTCTCCCCTCAGCCTCCTTTGCTCCAGGCTGGACACCCCCAGCTCCCTCAGCTGCTCCACCTCAGACTTGTGCTCCAGTCCCTTCCCCAGCTCCATTGCCCTTCTCTGGACACCCTCCAGTCCCTAAATGTCCTTCTTGTTATGAGGGGCCCAGAACTGACCCCAGGATTTGAGATGTGCCCTCACCGCTGCCCAGCACAGGGGTCAATCCCTACCCTGGTCCTGCTGGCCACACTAGTGCTAACCCAAGCCATGATGCTGGTGGCCTTCTTGGCCACCTGGGCACATGCTGGCTCATATTCAGCTGCAGTCAATCAACATCCCCAGGTCCTTTTCTCCCAGATACTTTCCAGCCACTCTACCCCAAGCCTGTAGCATTGCATGGGGTTGTTGTGACTCAAAGACAGCACCAGCAGGCAAAAAAACCCTCACTGGCTGCACGTGCTCTCTTCCTCTGCTTCCTAGCTGGCAGCAGGAAAGAACCTTGAAGTGCTCACAGGAGGGAGGGAAGCAGCTCTTCAGTCTAACTGTGAACCTTCCACCCTGCCCAGCTTGGCACCATCCCTAGCAGAAACAGTGGCAAATTGGGAATTTGGCCCTGAA